CCCCGAGCATTAAATGCTCTCAACTTCTAAGGAAGCTTATTTTGTTGAACGGAGTACCGTCACTACTTCGGACGATTCCCAGCCACTCTGACCGGAGATGCTGAAAGGTAGCGTGAAATGGACCTCTGTACCGGAGCTGATTTATGTTCTGCAAAGGTAACGAGTCGTCATGCTCCGAGTGTACCGGGGTTGAGCTGGGGTCGGATGAAGGGTGCCATTCCTGGTCAACACATTTTCTTTCATCCATCTAAATCCTCCTCTTTAAACCTCTAAATCTATCCTCTTGAAACCTCTTCGCCAGTAAATCAAGCTAAATGCCTTCAGAGATTAATTAATCTCCATCAGTAATCCTCTGTTGTCTTGTTATTTGAACTTGCTAAGTTTATTAATCAGAAACTGATCAACAAATCAAGTGTACACGTTTTGATGTTAATTTGAATGATTCTGTTAAATAAATGACCGCATTTATTCTGATGGGTCAAAGATAAATGACGTCTCATGTCACTAATTATACACTCCACTCTCAAGTTATCTTGGTCACATGGCAGAAATTTAACTCGAAAAAGAAAGAATCCATTGTTAATTAAACAATAAATATTCTTTGTGCTTGAACTCGCCTTAAGAATAATTAATTAATAGGATGTCCACAGCGAAAGCTGTCCCGACATACTACATAATTGGTGGCCTGTACGGGGAACTCTGGTCAGAGTGGCTGGGAATCGTCCGAAGTAGTGACGGTACTCCGTTCAATGGAATAAGCTTCCTTAGAAGTTGAGAGCATTTAATGCTCGGGGTGAGATCACAGCGAGGCGTGCTGTGACTCTGCTGAAATGGATGAACCCTTGGCTCATGGTCCAAAATCCATCAGCTATTTTTGTAGAGACTGTTAGACCTTAGCCTCCATTAAGACTGAAAGTTCCAGTCAGAACTCCAGTAAGAACTTCCAGTAAGACTTCAGTAAGAACTCCAGTAAGACTTGCGTAGTTCCAAGAAGTGTTGACTTTTAAAGGGTATCCACTTCCTGTTACTTGGTACTTCCTGATTGGTTAACACAACCAGCAGGGCTGGAGTTTTAGTGATGTCAGAGCGTTATTAGAAGTCGCAGACAGCAGACGTGTTTTTAAGAACGGTTAGTACAAACAGGAAAATATTTTGAAGAAGTGAGAGACTTACGGGCGCGCCATTTTCTTATTTACTGTCTGAGAGTTTTAAAACAAGGCACTTCGTTCTCATAACTTGTTCTCAGACTTTTGACCGACATCAAATCCACTCCTCATTCAGACAGAAGATTAAAATGCACACTTACTCTGTAAATAGACATTTAACTTGTATGATCTAAGTCCAATGAGGTTTAAAATAATTAATACTGTTTCACAGTTGATTTAAACGAGTAGTTTACTTCAACATTAGAAACGGTATGAACTGAACACACTTTTGATTATCAAGATATTGTAAAATAGTAATGATAATGTAAAAAAAGGAATAGTGTTCTTTCAATTGATTAATTCAGGATACAATTAAATAGTCTCTTGATGAGACTATTTGTGTTCTGGATTCAAATCAATGAAATAACAGTTCCTGTACCCTGAAGGTCTTCAGAGACAGATTGATGTAGGAGGTCTAGTTCACTACACTACTCTGTTATATATTAAAAAAAAAATTCTCAGTTTACCTTAAGTAGTTGTTTTGTTGTCTCAGTCTGGTTTGAATTCTGTCGAGGTCGAATCCTCCCGATGAAAAACCAGAACGTCCCCTCGCTCTTAAAGACTAGTAGAGGTTTAGAGGAAGAATCCTGCGATTCTTGGTGATCAGCCACCGTCCAGGGTCCCACCGAGTGGACGGACCTGCGAAGAAACCTGTTCGTGACACCAAATTGTGGATTTTTATCAAACTTTGTTGTTCAATAAAATTTAGCAGACTGAGAACTTTGTTAAAAACACGTAGCAAGGTTTATTTCTCTTCTGCAGAAGGAGAGAACACATGGAACAGAAACGCAGCACAAGAGTTCTTGTGTGTTCTCTAAAATCATGAGCAATACAGTCTCATTTATACACCTTCATATGTTAACAGATCTTGCTTTGACACAACAGGCGTTACCTCATTTGCAATCTTATCAGAGAAAAAACAGACAGTACGTTTGTGGTCAGTGACTGGTTCTGGAGCTGGGTTTGAGAAACGGAAGTTAAAAGGTTTCACACAATGATGCTGAAAGGGTTTAGCTGTTTACAGTTTTAGATAAGCTTTAACAGAGTGTGATATAAAGTAAATGACAAATAAGAGTGATGATAAAATTGATGAACAAAATAAACTGGTATCAATGTTTACAAAGTACTGATCCTTTCTGAGACTCAGAGCTAAAACTGCAGGCAAACACTTTAATTATCATTTTAAAGTAAACTGTAAATTGTGTAAAGATATCAAACTTTTATATTAATAACCCAGAAAATATCAACATGAGATCTCAGTCTCTGATAGAGGACATTTGCAAACTGAGGTGTACCGCAAACCCACCCACACAGACCAGTATTTGCAGTTTGACTCCCATCACCCTTTGGAGCACAAGTTAGGAGTCATCAGGACTCTGTACTACAGAGCAGACAGCATCCCCACTAGCTCAGGAGCCAGGCAGTGTCAGGTTTTTCGTGGCAGATCAGGACAGAAGAACCCAGTTGCGCAGGCAGGACTCAGGAGGCAGATGTATAAGATAAAAATACTTTTAATAATAATAATAATAAATCAAAAAGGCTGACAAGGCAGCAAAACTTACATGGACTCAGGAAACAGGATCACACAGGCAGGACAAGACAGGCATTACCCAACGACGAACCGACAATGACAGAACTGACAGACAGACTTTATATACACACAACCAGGACATGACACAGGTGACGATAATCAGACAATCAATTCAGACACAAGGGAGAACAGACAGGGGGAAGGCCCACTAGATGGTGCCATCCTTACAGGCAGAAGGAGAAATCCTACACAAAACAGGTTCTAGAGCAATGTGGATATCCTAACTGGGCCTTCCTGAAAGCAGAGAAGAAACCCAAACAGGACTCCAGTCAGCCAACAGGTGAAAAGGAGGAACCCAGACCCAGACTAGTGGTCATTCCATATGTTGAGGGAGTATCAGAGAAACTGAGACGTTTATTTTCTAAACATAACGTCCCAGTGGCTTTTAAACACCAAAATACATTACGACAAAGACTGGTTCATCCCAAAGATCCAGTCCCCCGGCACAAACAGAGTAATATTGTGTTTGTTGTTCAGTGTCAGGAGGGTGATCAGTCTTACACCGGGGAAACTAAACAGCCACTGGCCAAAAGGATGGACCAGCACAGAAGATCAACATCATCAGGCCAGGACTCTGAGGTCTACACTCATCTCCTGGACAGCGATCACTCTTTCAGGGATGAAGATGTTCACATCCTGGATAGAGAGGAACGATGGTTTGAGAGAGGAGTAAAGGAGGCCATCTTTGTGAAAAGAAACCATCCATCATTAAACAGGGGTGTAGGCCTCCAGTTTCAAATGTCCCCCTCTTACAATGCTGTGGTTGCTAGTATCACTCAACCCCCTGTGAATAGTAAACAGCCATCAGTGTGCTAATGATCCATTGTTAGGCTGATGGTCCTTCTTGATCATGTGAGCAGCTGGTTTTGGTTGTCAGCAGCAAACTGGTTGATCCACTCAAAGAAGGTGCTATTTAAGAGACTGAGCTGTATACAGCACCTCAGACTGAGGAAGTCTCTCGGATGAGAGACGAAACGTTTCTA